CCCCGCCTGCGTCGACCTCGCCTGAGTCGATTCAAGCTCGCTTGCACAGCTCCTCGACCTCACCTATGGATTTCCACAAGCTCGCCTACAATTCGCCTGGAGCTCGACCCATCTAGAGGAGCTCGCCTGTAGATCGATCGAGCTCGCCTGACGCATGCCGCCTCGAGCTCACATGCAGCCCCGCTCGAGGTCACCTAAACTTCGACTTGTTGCGCGCAGCGGAAATTTCGGCAGCACTTTGGCAGCACAACAAGATAGTCAGGTCACAATAAGAATTCCCGTCTCACCAAGGAAACAAGAATTTGAAGCAAAATAACTCAACTAAGTGAGATATCAGCTCTTCCTCTCATCAGTTCTAGGACTGACCATTTGAGGGGAACCTAAAAGCTATTACAAATCACACAAATAGCGATACAACCAATTTTACGTGGTTCGGCAAATTGCCTACGTCCACGGGGCAAGGAGGGGGGAGATCTACTAATAGAGGGAGAAAATACAACTAGGATTTACAATCACTCAATCTAAACCCTCACACAAACTCTCAAATCCCTCACACAAATACTCTCTCAAAGGGATGCAAAAAACTCTAGAACAGCTGCACACAACTCAAAAAAAACTCTGCTTTTTCTTTTGCACACTTTAGGGTCGAAAAAATTTAAGATTGATTGATTCTCTTGTTTTAAGAAAACTGGGTTCGATCACTTAGTACGAACCCTTACAATCATTCACTCTCTCTCGATTACAGAGGAAGAGAATATTAATTCAGCTTCTCTTTTGTTTAAGGTGGGTTCTAGGCTCGATTACAGAGGAAGAGAATATTAATTCAGCTTCTCTTTTGTTTAAGGTGGGTTCTAGGTGGCGAAAAGATGCTTCCCCCGATGCTTGAGTCGAGCTTGCCTCCCGTTGACGATCAGACCAAGATTGCAAGAGCTTTTGACCTTCGTTTGCCGGCTCGAATCGAGGTTCGAACTCCGGATCGATGTGCAGAAACTTTGATCTGACGATTCTCTAAGTCCAAGCTTGAAAATCTCCAATTAATTGATAATCAGTTCCTCAACCCTTTTCTCCGTAGCCCTCGATGGACCCCCCCCCCCCCCCTTCCTAATAGCTGCTCGAGGCTATTTATAGGAGTTTCAGCACGTAACCGACGTGCTAGAATCATGGATCGTGGGCGTAACCGACGTCTACAACTTAGAACACATGGCTGACTGGGTATTCGTGGCCATTACAACTTGATTTAATATGAGTGACAAGCTTCGAGGTGTTGGTGAACCTCGTCCTTGATATCGAGCCTCGCTGTGTGGCGAGCCTCGTCTTTGATGTTGAGCCTCACTGCGTGTTTCCAATGACGAGCTTTGTCTTTGACAGCTAGAGTTCAACTCGTGTCCAACGACGAGCTTCGAACCCTGTATCCACTAGTGAACCTCGAACCTCGTATCCAATGACGAGCTTCGAACCTCGTTTCCAATGACGATCGAGCCTCGCTACGTGGCGAGCCTCGTCTTTGATGTCGAGCCTCGCTACGTGGCGAGCCTCGTCTTTGATGTCGAGCCTCATTTCCAATGATGATATTCGAACCTCGTTTCCAATGACGAGCTTCACATCTTATTTCCAATGACAGCTTTGTTGTTTGAGACGAGGTTCAACATTGTAATGACCCTCGTCCTGCTCGTTATGAGCTTCAATATTCTAAGGCCAAATGATTAACCAATGATCTATGAAGATCCATGAGAGTGGAGGAGAGATAGGCTTTTTGACAAGCCTCTCAATCTCCTCTCCCTTCTTTTATGTTAATCATGCCTATTTATAGGCTTGGGAGTATTATGAAGTGAGTTAATGGGCTTTAACTCCCTTTAAATGAGGGAGTTAATGATCATTAACTCCCATTTAAATGGATGAGTTAGTGGTCATTAACTCTCCTTAAAGGGGTGAGTTATTGGTCATTAACCCTCATTTAATGTAGCCCTTTGAAACGGTGCCTGACGAAGTTCGTTTACCAGACGAGGTTTGTCCGCCAGACGAGGTTCGTTTGCCAGACGAGGTTTGTCCGTCTGATGAGGTCCGTCCGCCTGACGAGGTTCGTTCACTTCGCTATATCTTTGGTGAGCTTAACTACGGCTTCATCTTTGGCGAACTTCATCTTCAATGACGAACTTTGTTTCTAGGTGAACTTCGTCTTTTGATGGATAAGGTGTTTTTTGTCCTATTGAACTGAGAAAAACTTCATGAATTGAGGCTGAGGTTCGTCATTGTGACGACCCTCGTCGTGCTTGTAGTGAGGTTCGACTCTCCTTCGTTTCTTGGCACTTTTTAGTGTCTACAAAACCCCCTTCAAAGTTTTTAGACCCAAATTGGGTTGTATGGGTCTGGAATATTTTAAACTCTCTTGGTTGTGGCGAGCTTGGCTTACACGACGAGCTTGGCCTCCTGGCGAGCTTGGCCTCTTAGCGAGCTTGGCCTCTTGACGAGCTTCGATGCTCTAGGGTGAACTTCATCAAACTCATATGGGACTGACAATCAAGACTTAGGATTTTTAGTAAATCCTTAGCTATCAACAGACTTGATTTGTCTTTACCAACTGCCGTTTGAGTTGGACTAGCCATGATTTTTCCCTTAGCATGGTAAGTTGTCGAGAAGTTTCTCTTAGACTTAATGCTAAGATTTCTTCTCTATCCTTATCCGTTCAAGGCATTGGATTAAGTGTTAGAGTTTGGTTGTGTCGTTCAATATAACAACTCAACCTGGTATGTTCAAGGCATTGGATTAAGTGTTAGAGTTTGGTTGTGTCGTTCAATATAACAACTCAACCTGGTATTTTGAAAGTGAGGCTCATCACATGGTAGGCCTGCTGGGATGATGTGGTACCATTGATGAATAGTGACTCATCGCATGGTAGGTCACTATTTAGAAACAAAGGGGAAGATATGGGCTCATCACTTGGTAGGCCACTATCAATGAACAACGTCATTTGTGGGAATGACGGTATGGAAATGATCAAGTCATTCAGTGATATGAGAGTATAACGATTGTGATTGAAATAGAGGCACATCGCATGGTAGGACACTATTTAGAAATAACGTCATCCGTAGGAATGACGGTGTGAAAAATTATCAAGTCATTCAGTGACATGGGAGTATGACGACGATGATGAGAACAAAAGCACATCACTTGGTAGGTTAATGTTGGAAAACGAACATCATTTGGGGAAACGACGACATTAGGATAATCATGTCGTTCAGTGACTTAGGAGTATAACGACAATGAAGAAAACAAAGGCACATCACTTGGTAGGGCAATGTTGGAAAACAAACGTCATTTGAGGTAATGACGATGTTAGGATAATCATGTCGTTCAGTGACTTGGAAGTATGGCGACAATGATGAGAACAAAGGCACATCACTTGGTAGGCCAATGTTGGAAAATGAACGTCATTTGAGGTAATGATGACGTTAGGATAATCAACTATCAGAGGTAATCATTAACCTGATAGTTTTGTTGTGGACCCACCATCCTGTTGAAGAGGATTGGCAAGGGAATTTGGAGGAAG